TCTCAGCTGACTACAAATTTCTCTAAATGCACTGGCTCTCTTGAAAGAGTACAGGGAAATTATTTTTGTGATCATTGCTGAGGTCTTCAATTACTATCAGATTTGTCACTTGATGTAGAATCATTACTTTATGACCAGCAATTCACCTAGGTTCTGGAATATGCCAGCCATTTCCCTACCAGTGTCCATATCCAAAACCATCATAGCTGTGGCATTTCAGGCCTCAGTTCCCTTTATTGCTCCTCCTCCTGGTGCCTGAAATCAAGACAAACTAGTCTTTGTTTTTACCTTCCTCCACTCCTTCCCGGGTGAAGTGGGGAAATCCAGATGTTTTTGTTGTCGTTTTGTTTTTATTCTTTTTTAATGTATTTGTTTATTTTTATTGTAAAGGTGATGTATAGAGGGGTTACCATTACATAAGTTAGATAATGAGTATCTTTCTTTTTCTCCCAGTTTTTCCATCCCAACTCCCCTCTCCAGCCTGGGCTTGAACTCAAGCCCTGGACATTGTCCCTGAGCATCCTTTGTTCAGAGTTACCACTCTACCACTCAAGCCACAGATCCACTTCTAACTGTTATTTTTTGGTAATTTATTGGAGATAAGAGTCTTAGACTTTCCTGCGTGGCCTAGCTCTGAACTGCAATCCTCAGATCTCAACCTCCTGGGTAGCTAAGTAAATAGGCATGAGCCATAGGTGCCCAGCTCCAGGCTTTAAAAAGAAAAGTTTACTTTTGTTTTTGTTTTGAAGCCAAAAGTGACTTTTTTTTAAGATTCTGCTTGTTAATTTCAAACCTACTTAAGTTCTTAAGCACTAGCAAGGAAAACATGTCATGGGCTCACAGAGTAGTTAGGAGGAGATCTTGGGGGTTGAGAGGAATCAGGCCAGGGTGGCAAGAAAATACAGGCCTGATACTTGCAGAGCAGGTAAATTGGTAGACACAGAACACTATAAACTAAAAAAACAAAACAAAACTTTCAGTGAGAACCTGGGGCTATTTGAAGTTAAATTCCAAAAGTAAAAAGGAAGCGTCTTTCTGGAATCAAGTTTTCTGTTTATTTGCTCCATGTACCATAAGCACAATTCACATGGATATCAGATGTCTGACCCCAGAAACCTCAGTTGGGAAAAGTATAGGAAAATCCCTGTTGACAGTGACAGCCTCTTAATTGATAAGTTATTTAAGCTACCAAACAACTTTGGTTCTCTCATCTGTAGAGAAGAGGTGGTGAGATTCCTGCCTGACAGATCTGTTATGGGAATTAAATCAAATAAACTGTGCCAACTACTTAGCATGTTACTTGGTCCAGCTCACTACAGAACACAGGAACTCTATTTCCACTGGCCAGCATTAATGAGTCCTTTGGATAGGGTTATAGACTGTCCCTCATTTTAAAATGATCTTTCTAACAGTAAGTGCTTTTTAATGCATTATTGCATATGAATGTTTCTGCATCAGGAGATGATAGTGACAAAAGGCTGTCCAGAAGAAAATACTAATGACTTTAAGTTATAGAGTACATACTATGTTCTAAACATGATGCTAAAGATTTTATATTTTAATGGAATTCTATGCCTCCATCAGAAAGAATGGCATTGCCCCATTTGTTAGGAAATGGAAAAACTTGGAAAAAATTATATTAAGTGAAGTAAGCCAGGCCCAAAGAAACATAGGTCCCATGGTTTCCCTTATTTGCAATATCTAGTATATGTATGAGTCAAGTGGATAATGTGATGTTAGGAAAACGAACCCTTAGATATGTATTTTAATGTTTTTTTTTTCTTTCATGCATTTGTTTTTTTATTTAATTTAATTTATTTTTTTGTGAACAACTTTCATGCATTTGTTTCTAACGCATCTATAAGATTATCTCTTTGTTGCTTTGTATGTCCCTCCCCCACAGTATAACCCCTGCTTTCACTATATTTGATGTCAGTATAACTTGTGGAGGAGATGGGGAAAAACAAGTCGTGCCCATGTAATTGTAACCCCTCTGTACAGTATGTTCACAAAAAAATTAAATTAAATTAAAATTTTAAAAAAAGATTTTATATTTTAAAACATCATTTAGCAATTCTCTGAGGTGCTTTTGTAAAGGCTCAATGACTCAAGGTCGTTGGATCAAAAGTGATGGGACTGAGATGTTAATCCAGGGCTGCCTAATGCTAAAATGGATGTCCTTGCTAGGCTCTTGAAACTGTCTAGAGCATAGGGCACAAGGTCACTTAGCATAGGCAAAGTATGAAGGTGCCAACAGTAGGAAATACAGGAGACAAAGTCAAGGGAATTGCACCCAAATTGCACATCCTGAAACACGGCTGCATCAGTAGGCTTTCCAGTTCTACTGTTCTAAGTCTGCTCTGTCTCAGCTTCAACTCACATAACATTTCTACCTCTCCTTACTCCTCTGTAGTCCCTCAGTGTGCCATCTTTTCCTGAGTATTGGACTTTGTCAGGCAAGAGCCTAGGTGGAACTCCTGAGGTAAAAGTAGAAGCATTGAACCAGAAATATTGACCGACAGATCTCCTTTGGAATCACATTTCCATTTCCATGGTTGAGTGATATGTTCACAAGCATTAACTCCCCTATAATTCTGAGCTGTGCCAGGATGTGTAGAACAAGTTCTCATGAGCATCCCATTCCACAACATTGGAGAAGCTCCCAGACTTATGAGGTCCCCAGCAAGACTACAAGACTACCAGGTCTGGAGAGCTCACTAAAAGTGATACTACAGAAAGATTCAATTCAAACTCGGTGTGATTGCTGGTAGAATTCAGTTCCTTGCAAGATATTAAAGTAAGGACCTCACTTTCTTGCTGAATAGAAATGGAGGCTTACCCTTTGTTCCTTGCCCTCTCCCAAGAAGCCCAAAACATAACCTTCTTCAACATCAGCAAAGGAAGGTTCCCTGGAAAGACAAGCGTTACAATCACAAGTACTATCATATGCATCCTGTAAACTCTTACCATTTCCTATTGATTAGCAGGGAGTCATGGGTTCTGTCCATATTCATTGGCGTATTATACCAGCATAAACATAAGGAGGCAAAGGTCATAAGGGCCACCTTAGTCTTTCATGTGGTTAAGAGAATGCAGAGATATTTAGTCTATCAGTATTATTGGCTAAGCCAAATTAGCATAAGTTCAGTTTTCTGAAAGCTTTTTGTTTTGTTTTATTTTTAAGTGGCTTCACAAAAGGGTTTTTAACCATTCAACATGTCCGTTTATGAGTACAATGGGTCTTGCTCGGTGTCATCATTTTCATCCTTCTCCCTCATCTTTCCCACCCCCACTTCTCCCCTCAATTTCCCTAGTTCTATTGTCACACATATACAGTGAGTATTATGACTACATTCTCCTACCCTTCCTCTCTTCCCCTTGACCTTACTCCTCCTTTGATACTTCCAGTTCTAGCTTTCTGGTATTCATTTTGTTAGACTGTTAGTTATTCAAAGGTTTTTCATCACTGGGAGAGTTCTCTAAAGAAATGTTCAGAATTTTGTGTGCATGTGCACCAGGACTAGGGCTTGAGCTCAGGGCCTGGGAATTGTCCCTCAGCTTTTCCACTCAAGGCTGGTGCTTTACCACTTGAGCCATGCCTCCAGTCCTATGTAAGCATTTTGACACAACAAAGCAATAGATTTTTTTAAAAAAACACTTCATCATGTATACCCATTTATTAAATATCCATGCCACTTTTTAACAAAAGGGTTTGTTTTTTAAATCAGAAAGATATGTACATCCCTAGAAGTTGTTTTACTTCTAGCACTTAAATTCCCCAAAGATGGCTTCTCTGTGAAGCATTTTCTTTGACACTTCAGTGTTTGGCTATTTAGCCTAACTTTAATGAGAGTGTTAACAAATTACACAGATACACTAGTTAGGTCAAGCCATTGAAACTTGAAAAAAAAATTGCTCAAATCAATTTTCTGTCCTTGGTTTTTCCCTTTAATTAGAAGTAGGAGAGCCACTGGGTGACATACTTATTTTTAATAATGTTATTTGTGGGAGAACATGTTTATTTTTACTTTGTTATGCTTGATGCAGACATTTTACAGATGTTGAGAGACTGTTTTAGGATGTCTGGAAGGGACAATGAAAGACTGTGGTTTAACAACAAAGCTGCTCAGAGCACTGAGGCCTCATGGTGGATTGTTGAAGTGTAAGATCCTGCTTAGTCTTGCTCTTGGCAGGGTAGTACTGCTCCTGTTTGCATGCACTTCAGTGTCCTTTATGGTTAGCCTTCCCAAAGGCGTTCTTGTGATTATTGCATCATTTGTTTTTATTTGCAAGACTGCCTTAGAAGCTTCAGAATGGTTGTAAACTCATTACTGTTTCTAACTGTAAAAGGTTATGATTGCCCATGGAACTCACACCAAAGGCAAACAAAAGTAAATAAAAATCCTTCCTTTGTGTCCTTCCTCTTTATCTGTATTTTCAAACACTCTGCACTAGGGGCTCAGATCTGGGAGATTACTCAAGGCCAAAGTTCCTCCATCCATGTCATAGCTCATTCTGATTTAGAACCAGTTTGTCTTCCAAGGACTTTAGGATATAAGTGAACCACCTCCACTCAAAATTACAGCTGGCATATTTATTTTAAAGGGCAGAGTAAAATTAATGACCTACAAAATTCCTACCACATTAGCTTTCTCATCCTTCAAATGAGGTAACAACCCAACTGTATATCTAGTTCTGAGAAAGCCAACACTTACCTAAAAGCTTCAATACAGGACACCTACCAGGCACTGGAAAAGCAAACCACATTAGGAAAATGGATTAGATTTTATTTTTTACTTAAAAAAAATTTTTTGTCAGTCCAGGGGCTTGAACTCAGGGCCTGGGCACTGCCCCAGAGCTTCTTTTGCTCAAGGCTACACTCTACCACTTGAGCCACAGCACCACTTCCAGCTTTTTTGTTTGTGTGGTACTGAGGAATCGAACCCATGGCTTCATGCATGCGAGGCAAGCACTCTATCACTGAGCCACAGTCCCAGCCCCTAAAACAATAGTTAGATGCCACAAAGTAGGTGGAAATGCCTTAACCGTATGCATGTTGTCAGACCCAAGGGCCTCTTCATCCTTGTCAATGAGAATGCTAACCTTCTCTCCTTTCATACACTAGTTTTAACTGTATTATTACTACTACAAGTCAATTTCTTGGGCCCAGTCAGCAAAGCATTCAAATTGTTTTTCAACATGTTTATATTTCCCTTTTTAATATCAAATACAATGCAAGACACATAAGGCTTGTTATTCAAAGCCATGGTTTTTATGGCATGAGTAATGTCTTGCTTGGTACCCTGTAGGTAGTTTTCTATGGGTAGAATGGTAAAGTGTTATTAATTGACCTTCTATCCATATTTGGTGATAAGTTGTCATTTCTTGCCAAATAAAGAATTAGGGCAGACATCATGGTGACAGAGTTAGAAGGAGTATTTTACTTCCAAGAGCTTCCAATCTGGGTAAACTCTTCTGCTACCCTTCTGAAATCCTTCAGTTGATTCCATTGCCCTCACAATGTTACTTTCTAGAACTCAGAGTTCCTGGGTTCCAGATAATCAGCTACTAACTACTTGTCTCTACTTTAGATGCTTTAACAGTGAAGATCAATTTCTATTTGACAGGTACAGAAACTGAGGCTCCAGGAGGCTAAGTCATTTAATAAGTGAACAACATCCAAGTAGCAGAGGAGAATTCAAAGCCAGACCTCTAAATCCTCAGGCTTCTTTCCCTATAGTCAACTGTGACTATAGTTGATTTCCTGGAATGAGGGGCAATCACAAAATATGCATATTTTATGAAATTATTTAACAGCTTCAACGGGAAAATACTGAATACAAAATAAGGAGATATATGTCCTGTCCTTGGTTCTGCCGATTACCTGTGAGTCATTTTACCTAGTTTTCCTCACTTCTAAAGTGATGGAAGCCACCTGCCAACTTCTAGGACTTTTGCTAAGCCTGTTCCTGTCTGGGATTGCCTCTGGTTGGGAGCACATGTGTGTGGATGTTAAAGGTACATGAGGTGCTTTGTGAAGAGACCTGCTAACATAGCCCTTTATGAACCTGACTCTGCAGCATTTAGTCAGGTTTCACAGAACTCAGGTTCCCTAGAAAATAATTTGGGAAGTGATGTTCCAAATTCTCTTTGGGCTCTAAAATTGGGTAGTGGACATTTTAGCCACTGAAATGTTCCATACCTTCAACCCATGTGCTCTCTTTTAATTGTGAGTTTCCATCTCCTACTGAACACAGTGGACAACAAATAAATGCTATCAAGTAATTTATTCAACTTTTAAGGTTAATGTATTCTACACAAGGCTTATTTAATATGTTTGGAGAAATGTAGCCCATCAGAGAACAGTTCTGGACTGGGAAGAACTGTGCTCTGGGAACTGGATGAAACACATCAACTCTCCCCAAAGCCAACCAGAGAGATGCCAGATGACATTTCAGTCCCATTTGGCTATGTGAGTTTCATCCAAGTGCAAAAACAAAAGACACAGTCTGCCTCTGGTTAGCAGACTTCTGATCTATCTGTCCGCTTGGTCTGGTGTGCAGAAAATCAAAGCATTTGGTGTTGGGTGTCACTGACTAGTCACTCTGATGTGACAGACATTTTTTTCCATCCTCCCTCTAGTAGTTTACAAGATATGTTGATGCTGCCAGATTCTCTCCCAGGGGAGAAAAAAAAAAAACCTTTTCATCCCGCCAATGCCGCTTGGTGTCAACTTCAGCAGTAAATTACCAAATGCCACCCTCATGGCTTGAAAGAGCTTATTCACAAAGAAAGTGCCCAAGAGTTTCCCAGGAGCTAACTTGACTTGTCAACTATGTAACATTACTTATTTGTGTTTGACCAAGAATACAAATTCACTGTAATATTCAATACAATAAGTACACAGAAAAGGATTTGTAATGGGTGCAATTGGTTTTAATGAAGTATCGTAATATAGCATTATTTTAATCTTTGGAAACACAGTTTCAAATTTTACAATTGACAAATTTTCCAATATGACATCCAAGTTTTATGTAATTATGTAATATTGGAATAAGACTTCTTAACAATATAAAAAAGAAGCATAATGATTCTATTCACACTTATTTTTATTTTTATCTTTATGTTTAAAAGAAAATGAAGATAAAGATTGTATGCGGAAGGGCTGGGAAGGTGGCTCAGTGGTAGAGCGCTTGCCTTGCATGCATGAGGCCCTGGGTTCGATTCCTCAGCACCACATAAGCAAAAAAAAAAGAAAAAGAAAAAAAAAGCCAGAAGTGGTGCTGTGGCTCAAGTGGTAGAGCACTAGCCTTGAGCTGAAGAACTGAGGAACAGCGTCCAGGCCCAGAGTTCAGGCCCCAAGACCGGACCAAAAAAAAAAAAAAAAAGATTGTATGTGGATTGTGTGATAAAAGAGAATGTTCTCCATACTACAGAATCATAGCTAACAACAATAAAAAGTTTGTGTATCACCCAACTTTTCTAAGTACAAATAAATGATCAAGAAAACAAAACGCGATTCTTCTTGAACATACATACTCATACTATCAAGTGCAATGTAGGTAGTTGAAAGCTGTCATATAAAACAATGATTAAAAGGAAAGAATTAACTTTCATGTAGAAACAGAGAGTGAGTAGCAGCTATGCCTCTTACATCTTTAATTCAACTTCAATTTCCATATCTATAAGTGGGAATTATGTCCATTTCGTAAGAGATCTTAAAGATAAACACACTTCATACCATAAAATGCATAGCCTATGCCTCTCATATAATAAACAGGTAACAAATAGATATTATGTTATGGAGAACAATTAATTTCTGTGGCAAGGGAATCAGAGGTAAGATTGGCACAGGAGCACTATTCCCTATGATTCCCTTGGCCCACACCCATTTGGGGGGGGTGGGGAGTTCATCTGAACAAATCTAGGTCTCTTATTCACAATGATTTGATTGTTCTTTCCAAGAGGTTCCTAAAAACTTCCTTGATGGCTGGATGCTGGTGGTTTGTACCTGTAATTCTAGCTACTCAAATGATTGAGATGTGAGGATCGAGGTTCAAAGCCAGCCCAGGCAAGCAAGTCCTAAAGACTCTTATCTCCAATTAACTACCAAAAAGCTGGAAGTGGAGCTGTAGCTCAAGTGGTAGAGCACTAGCTTTGAGTGCAAAAGCTCAGGGACAGTGTCCACACCCTGAGTTCAAGCCCTAGGATTGGCACAAACAAACAGACAAAAAGCTTCCTTGATGTATCATTATTCCAAGTTTGTACTGGTCATGTTGGGTCATGTGGTCTTTCCTTCCATGAAAGAAAAATGAGAAGACCTTCAGGCCAAACAGTCTGTATCTATAGGTGGAGTCATCTTCCCAATACTGATGGCCTGTGTTAGACTGGAGTAGATCACCTCTCAAAAATAGTGCTCTGAAGGCTGGCACCAGTGGCTCATACCTGTAATGCTAGCCACTCAGGAGACTGAAATCTGAGGATTTTGGCAAAGCCAGCCCAGGCAGGAAAGTCCGTGAGGCTCTTATCTCCAATAAACCACTCAGAAAACTAGAAGTGCCGCAGTGGTTCAAGTGGTAGAGCACTAGCCTTAAGCTGAAGAGCTGGAGGACAGCATTCAGGCCCAGAGTCCAAGCCCCATGACCAAATAAATAAGTAAGTAAGTAAATAAATAAATAAATGCAATATTGGTCTGCTAATAAGGAGAAAGTGTGGCAAAGTTCTGGGTAGACATCATGAATGTATGTACACTACTCCAGTGCTTCTCCAAATTCAACAGATTATCTGGGTCTACAGATTACACAGATGTATACAGATTATCTGGGTGCCTTGAGTATAGGAAAATTCTGTTTCAGAAGTTTCAGGGTAGAGTTCACCCAGGGGAGGCTGTTGACTGTCCTTACTTGGAGTAGCAAGATTCAACAACCATAAATACCAACAAGGGACCAGAGTAAGACAAAAAGGTTCTTACTGTAAGAAAGCTGGCCAAGATTAGTGACAAAAGAAATGGAATTAACCAATGCAGAAAACAAACACTAGACTTCAATTTGAAGCAGATCTCTAAATAGGTTAATTTTAGTTAACTAATGAAATCAAATATATTTATTTGTAAATAAATTAGGTGGTATGGAACCTACCACCCATAGTCTATACTGGGAATTCAACAAATGCTCACTTTAACTTAATGTTTATATCACATGATATATTAGGCCTTGAAGATAAAATAATGATCTAAACAAAAGCTTTGGAAAATTTCTTACAGAATCTGATGGTAAGTATTTCAGGCTGAATAACAGCTAGAATATAGGGATTTATATCTTCGTAAAAATGCTGCCACATAAAATGTAAAAACCATCCTTAGCTTAGAGATCATACAAAAGTATGGCTTGGCCCACAGGTCTTAGTTTGTTAATTCCCAGTGTACACCACTGTTGTACCTATTTTTAAGGAGCTCACAGCTTATCCATAGTTTCATTTATATTTTGGTATATTTTCCTAAAACCTCATCAAAAACCCATCCTTATGACTGGAATTAAGCTGGACTTTCCAATAAAGCCATCAGTATTACATGTTTATTCTTCCAAACCTGACCATCATCGGTCAGGGAGCACACACAAAATGTTCTTCTGATGTTTAAGGCCATAACATGTCAAAGATTCTTAGAAGGTCAATATTGAGGGAGAAAACGTATCACTAACAGAACTGACTCTTTCAGTTTTTGCATTTAATTCTTTACAGACCCATTGGAAAAGAGGTAAACATCCCCATGCATGCATGACCAAAAGCCATCACACCTGAAAGAAATATCCACCTGCATATATAAAACAAACACCCATCTGGCCACAGATATTTCCCAGGAGGCCATTCAATGACAACTTTCAAAACATATTCTGTAGCTTGGGGACCACAGTGTAAATTTTTCCAGACTTTCAATTTCAACTGAAAAGTGGACTACTTTCTGATTGGTGAAAAGACTGCAAATGAGTAGTATGCTAGCCCTGCCTGCATAGAGCAGGCATTCTTCTCAGGAGACAAGTTAATTACTTGCAGAAAAAGTGGGAATTTGCTCTAAGCACAGACTTAGCCATCTATTTCTCAGTAATCGTATGACTCCATCCATTTGTT